CTCCAGCCTTCTAGTAACAATCGAGATGCAGTCTTCAACAGGAACGCATGTGAACTGAGACTGCACATCAAAACTAACCATAGTTTCATTGTCTGCCAGATGTAAGTCTTTAATCTCGCTGACAAAATGGTAGGAATCCTTTGTGTGTGCTCTTGTATGTCCCTTGAGCGGTGAGAGTATTTTCGCTAAGTGCTGAGCCAATCTGTAAGTTGGTTAATCGATTTGGCTCACTATGGGACGTAGTGGAGCATTGGGCTTGTGTATTTTTGGTAAACCTGTAACTTCGGTGGTTTGGCACACGTAGGTATTATCGATTTGACGTCTAGATTTAATTTTTAAGAGTGTTTCTTTATGAGGTCACTAGTTGTTTTAAGTGTGTTATTTGTACGCTCCGGAAAGCCTGCAGTCTGAACACGTAGAGGATCGCCCGCGTCACTACATTAGATTTGATAGATCAAAAATTCTCGCTAAATAACACCGATTCCTTCCGAGGATGTTTCGCGAGGCTATTGAAATAAAAAAAATCCTAATTTCAACACAGAAGATGACTGGGTGCTACCATCTGCTTGGGATCCTATAATTAATAAAATTAAATCCCAACCCAAGCATACAACTGCAAGACCTCAAGATACTGTAAGTTCATACTGCGTAGATCGGAACAAAAATTAATAATTTTTAATCTGGAGGTTAACTATGACATTGGGACACCTCAGTCCCCCCGTGACCATGTGCGCTGTAAAGTGCTCGAAACGTCGGGAATATAAAATAAGTTAATATACGCGATAAAATCCGTAAAATTAGTTTTATTTAAATGTGTAGTGTTCGCGTAAGTATAAGAAATCAATAATTTTTAAATTTTATAATTAGACTAGCTGTGCTCGCGTATATAGGTTTTACATAAAGAATTTGTCGTTTAGGTAAGAGAATATTAAATGATTTATATCGTTACTTTATGAATAAGTGGTAACAAAATAAATCATTATCATCAAAGTTCTAAGTCGTTTATGATAGAGTTTCTGTGTAAACGACGTTAGAAAAGGTTACGGGGCCTATTAACGCGCGAAAAAGCAACATAGAGTTGGCCATGTGCAAAACAGTCAGTACTGAGGTGCACTCCTACAACGCGTAAAGTTTGACCTTGCGCTTTATTTACGGTCATCGCATAACACACACTGACTGTGACTGGGAACTGAACGCGCTTAAAACTGAAAGGAAAGTTATTTCTTAATAGAGGGATTTTGGGCAGTGCTGCCAGATCAAAAAAACTCATTCAGCGCTAGGACAACACAAAAAGCGCTAGATTTCATGAAAACAGCGCTTTAAAAAAGCCCTAGATTTCGCGCTAAATTAACTACAAACAAAGTTTGTGTTTTTTATTATAATTTATAATTCAAGAAAATATAATCATAATAAAGAAAACAACATTAAGTTTTTTTCTGGTAATATTTTTTGATGTATCAATACTTCGCAGGACATCGACTTATAATTATGGCAATTGCTGTCAACAGTAGTTAGTACTATACGAACAATTAAAATGTCATTAATTGTTTTAAAGTGCAATGTATTTCGCAACTTAGTTTCAGATGTCAGCATCTGATTGCGGTTGCTACACAGTTTTTTTTGTGTTGTAACTTCTAAGTAACTTTTACTTAGCTGTGCTCTAAACAACTGACTGAAACTGAATAAAGCAAAATAAATGCGTTGCCAAAACCACGAACGAAAACTTTAATAAAGGGGATTTCCCCGCTTATAGTTGCCGGTAAAAAAATCGAGTTGATCATCCTAAAGGTAGAGCCGGGAGATCCATAGCACAGGGTATCCTAGTTTGGACTGGTCTCCCATGCTCTTTGTTTTGTAAAAAAATATGTTTGAAAAAGATAAACTGCAATGTACTATTTGCAGGATAAAATAATAAAGGTCATTATTATTATTATCGATAATGTGGACTAACAGTGCTGCTATAAAAGAGTTAGATAACCCGCTAGTCGCTACAATTTTGAAATGCGCGCTATACATTCCAAAAAAGCGCTAGATCTAGTTCAAAAAGTGCTAAAATGGTAGCACTGATTTTACGTATATTATAAATACAATATCACGACATTTCGTTGCAATTTTGTTACTCTTGGTTGGGTTCCGTTGTATGGCTTCGGTAGATACTTTCTTTAGTAAGTCTCAATACGATTCACCGGCGGAGAATCTCAACACCGCAATTCAGAAAAGGTTGTAATTTGTACAACTCCATCTATTACGTCCTTTGTGTGGGAAAACATCCTTTTTTAATCTCTTTTTGTGTTTTAAGTATAAATATATTAATATTAATTATTATGGAACTTTTCTTTTACACACAAATCTTTTTATTACTATTTCTGAGATTTTGTGGCGCCATTGTCGACAAATTCGAACCTACATTTCAAAATAATAATCATTACTTTCGATAGAATTAACCAATTTTAATAAAACAAAGATTAAATGTAACTCGCAGATACGCTTTATGATTTTCTTAATGATTTCTTAGAAAAAAAAAGATGTTGACTTTAGATGTGATGCGTTCATAAAAAAACAGACAGACAGACAATTCTAAAAATTATAAAAATGTATTCATTTAATTATTTTCAGTTCCCCATAATGATTTTAATCACAAAAATATACGAATTAGACATGTTATCGTCATTTTTATTATATGTATATATTTAAAAAGAGATGGCGCTGCTAACATCAATTCTAAAAATAAAAGAGATTAATTGAAGCGATTGATACATTATATAAAACGTAAAAGAACTTATAAATCAGTGCCTGCACAGTACGCAAAAAATGAAGTTTGATCCTCGCCAAAACCAACGCTATTGTTAATAGCTCTTAAAATTTTATTTACCACATAGAGTACTCGGCGGTAAAGAATAAATTGAGTTTGTCAACACGCAGTAGGGCAGCGAGTATTATAATAATTAGCAGTAAATATGAAAACTCATCTACAGGAAAAAACCACAACTTGCCTTTTTGCATTACATTTCATCTTTATTTTCATCACAACACCACCATCTATCGATGACATTGGTTAACTATTGTACTTTTATATTTAGTTAATAAGGTTAATATATTTTTGTATAATATATTTATTAATGCGTTCTTTAATACTTTTGTTTACTACGCTTTAGATATACATAATTATATCATTATAGAACATTATTTTACATCATTTAATTATGATATACGATATGATATTAGTTTAAAATGCACTTGATGACTCAACCAAAGCCACCGTTGAGCACATTCGTACCTATACTTCCCTACCCATACTTCAGAATATTTATCATAACTTTTGATGGAATGAACTGATTTTAATGAAATAAAGACTAAATGTAACTCGAAGATACACTTTATAATTTCCTTAACAATTCTTGTGATATAAATGAGTACTTTATACGTGATACGTTAACAAACAAACAGACAGACAGACAGACAGAAAATTCTAAAAATAGTAGAAATGTATTTAATTACTTATTTTTAGTACCCCTCAATCACTTTTATTACAAAAATATAAAATGTACAAACATCTGCTATTTACATTTTTATTATATGTATAGATAATGTCTTCGACATCCGTATCTTGAAGGGATCCGTATCTGAACATTAACGGCACAAGGAAAATTTTCATATTCATAGTGATACATTTCCGCAATTATCTTTGATGTACAAAGTTTCCACAAATAGAGATGATTCATTTGAATGCTGGCAATGTTCTTGTAATTTTGCAGATGAGTATGAATGAATGCATGTAAGAACAGTTCTGTTTTTATTTTGTCCGGGACACACATCGCTATAAAACAAAAGATGTCTGATGACTGACCTACGATCGTCTACCATTTTGATATACTTTTCTAAGATCACACACTTCGTGCACACAAGGTATACACTTCGTTAGCTCCACGTTTGCCTTCTTTCTCAGTCCAAGAATAACAAGAGACTTCTCTAGTTCTGGACTCATAAAAAAATAAGATTATATTCAGCTAATTTGCGACTGTAGTAAAATAACATACTTTGGCCATATGGCGTATTTAAAACTTTTTGTAAATCAAAATATAAATTGTACGTACTTAACGAATTATAATCAAAACAAAATTTAATTTCAAAAGACTTAACTGAATATTTTTGTACGTTTTTCACACATCTAAATGCTAAACCAACTATTAAATATTTTGTCGAGTAAAATAATTCATACTTAATAAATTAATTATTCGATTTCATTGAATGTACATAAACATTCTAAATTGACTCTCAAATACTTAGATATATAAAGCAAAATCACTAAAACCGTTTCCTCTAAGAAAACTGCGAAAACAAAATATACTAACGCACCATACTTATCAATTTCAACATAAGGCAAAGTTAGTTATCTACATATATGCTAGCTTTTATGATCGGCAAAAAATACTAAAGTGATATCAATAACTCAAACTACAGTATTTTGAGTTGCTGAACAAAATTGAAATGTCTGTTGTCAGTAAAGAAAAATACTAAACTGACAACGACTAAAAATTAATCATAAATTGTATTACGTAAGCATTTGTCAAAACATGAAAATTATGATAAATACCATACTTTTGCAGTGCTTAAGCGCTAAAAAAAGTGCTCAGATCATCACGAAATACAGACCAATCGTCGCAGAAAAAAAATCCAATCCAACGATATATGTAAGTCATTTTGGCCAAAATGGCGCTTAAGTAGTATTGGCTTTCCAGTGACGATTTGTATTATAATAACCTCTGAGAATGAGCTGATCGCTACCATGCTGTTTGTTTCTGTGTTGTGTGAAATGTTTTCATAACAATTGTATAAATGTTATATAGTAAGTTATGCTTTTAAAAAAAAGTCCCTCTGATTTTTTTCGCTGGTTTTTTCTAGGGCAGAGGTTTTTTTGTCTAAACCAGTGGTAAAAGTTAAAATTGACTTGCAATAAAAATTATATGTAATGAATATTGAATAAACTATTCTATGTGTAGGTCACGTAGCACTGAATCAGTGCGCGAGGCGGCCATGGAAGGGTCGCGGCCGGCGCAGCCCGCCGAGCCCGGCACGCTCAACGCCACGCTGCCCGACACGCCCGGTACCTGCACGCACACTCGTTCGCACACGCACGCACGCTCACTCACGTGCACACACACGCGCGTACACATACACACACGCACACACACACACACACACACACACACACACACACACACACACACACAGGCGCAAACTTTCACGAAACATGCATCCAAACACATCATTCATTATAACCTAGCATTAGCATGGTTGGCACGATGGTCAAGCCGATGCAAGTGCAGATTTTATTATTATGAGCTGTTGTCAAAAAGATTTTCATCTGTTTCAGTTTCCTTTTGTCACATCTAACTGCACTCACAGAGAGATATGGGGTAGTGCAACCCTTACGCCATCTCTACACGCAAACACAACCGCACGATGATTTCTTATGTTTACGCGAACACTACACATTGAAATAAAACTATTTTTAGCTTATCTTATTTCATATTATAACTGAACGAAAACTACACACGTTCAAATGTACACCCTTTAGCTTAAACACGCTTAATCACGTTTTATACGTGTTAGAGCCATGCTGCAGCTCGACCGGGGTAATACCACGCTCTCACAGAATACCAGCGTAAAATAGCAGCTCAATGCTGCCGTGTTTCATATGGTGAGTGTAGAGAATCGGAGAACTTTTACTGGAAACGAGGCATTCCATCTTAATCCTCAGGAGTGACGACGTATCTGCATTTTAATTATTAATTGAGGATAAATGTAGATGTCTATAGGCCCACAGTATCTACTTACCATCAGGTGGTCTATGTGCTCGTTTTTCACCCTTATTCTATAAAAGAAACATGCGTGAGTGTCGTGGAACACGCGGTTGGAACGAAGTTCCTTATTATTGTATTATATTATTGATTAACAAATACAAATAAATGTATTACTAGCGTCTATTAAAATGAAGCATCATTTAAACTAAAATACACTATGACACAGGGGGGTGACGAAAAAATCTTACACTTTTTGTCGCCTAGCTCCGCCAAACCCGTACCGTCCGATAAGGAACTTCGTTCCAAAAAATCACACGCGGTCTGCAAAGTGCACGCACGCACACATTTAGACAGGCAAACGTTCGCACGCTTAACTTAAACCCTTTTATTTGTTCGTAGCAATAACGGCAATGACAGAGCGAGAATCAGCTCACCCACGAGACCAGCTCCTACCGCAACGTAGCGGCGGTGACGGACAAGACGGGGAAAAGGAAGAAGACCATAACGACAACAAGAAGCGAGACCACAAAGACCGAAAGAATGAACGCCACGGAGACAGCGATTCGCGCGAGAATTGTTTGAATAATGTATCACAGGTAAAACAACTATATTGTGAACTCAAATTTTGTGATCTTACGATATGTATTATGAATGAGCTTTCTAATATTTCTTTTAATTTTGTTTTGATTGCAAATATATTTTATTTTTGAAAGAGGAGGCAATCGAGTATATGGCTCGCCTGATGAATAGAATAGAATAAATTATTTTTTTTATTTCATATATATATAAGAGGGGATTTTTGTATATTATGTGAAATCGTTTAATTCAAAATGTATTTGAAAATCAAAAACTGAACAAACTAGCAAGTTATTATTTTTCTTATATCTTTTCAAGATAGTGTTCATTTACATCAATACATCGTTGCATCCGATGGAACCACTGAGAAAAGCACTTTGCCCACTCGTCTTTAGGGGTCTCTTCGACGGCATTTTGAAACGCAGCCACTGTTTCCTCGGCGTTCATAAAATGTTTTCTTCGATGTTTTTCTGTTATTTTCGAAAATAAATACCTACCGCAATTTGCGAGGTCGGGGCTATAGGGCGGGTGACCCAGTAATTCCACTTCTGACATCACCAAGTAGTCGATTGTTTGCTTGGCGGTGTGCGACGAGGCATTGTCAAGGTGAAGGAGGATCCTACTGCGAGGTCGCTTTTCCCGAACTTTTTCCAAGACAAGTGGCAAACAATTGTTAGTGTACCACTTTGCAGTAACTTTTTCGATCCTCTAAAACAATTGTTGCGTAATGAACTGTCCTACTGAAGAACGAGGCCACCTTCTTTTTTCCACGCTTCGACCTCTCTTCACTTTAGTTGGCAACTCCTCGGAAGGAAACACACATACAGCAGACTATCTCTTAGTTTCAGGATCATAACAGTAAATCCAGCTTTCGTCACCCGTAAGTATGTCGAACGCAGCATTTGAGTCACCTCCGTTAAATCTTTGAACCAATCAACACGACGAAGTTTTTGGGCCTCTGTCAAATTATGAGGTATCCACCGGGCACAAAGCTTCCTGACCACTAAATGTTCATACAGGATTTTGTGCACTTGACTCATACCGATGCCTAAGCTTGTCCGAATCTGCTGATAAGTCACTCTTTTGTCAGTCTCTATCATACGTCGCACAACACTGATGTTATCTTTAGTCGTCGCCGTAGAAGGCCGTCCCACGCGCAAATCATCGGTAAGATTAGTGCGACCACGTTTAAACTCATTAAATCAGTTGTATCAGTGGCACGAGATGGGGCTTCATCGTAAAAGGCCAATCGAAGTCTATCATAACTTTGTTGTTGACTTAAATGACATCGAAATCATAAAAAACATTCACAACAACAACACAACACAAATCTTAAACAAATCACAAATTAATAAAATACATACACTAATATTATTTTTATAACTGGCTTTACGGTTCTGGGTTCTAGCCCTTCTGAGCCTATAGTTACAATTTATAATTATCCTTCATAGTAAACTGCTTCACAATATGTTGATGCGTCACATTGTGCAGCCTTTGGGAGATTTTAACGGCAATTTGAGCCAGCAGACAGCTGACAGTTGGCGGTGGTATCTCAAGGGACCTAAGCAGACAGACACCTTATCTTGAGAATTACATCACCATCAGAGCACTTGTTTCACCGTTTCCACTAATAGTTCACATGCGCAGACAATACACAAAATCACACCACTTTTACATATCAAAATCCACTTCAAACCATTATTTAAACAATAATACAGGAGCAGCAAACTGCCGCCGGTCAAGTTCTCGCCAAAACATCCAAACACTAATATTGGCAGAGTTTCATTTTCAAAATTTGAACTTTTTTTTTATTGTATCGTTTACAAGGGGCCAGTTCTAAAAACTTTCAGTTTCGCCCTCGTATAGAGATATGCTAGGTTGTACCAGTTCTAGCAAAAAAAAAAATCCATGTTACTTGGTTAAGTGATAATAGGTATACTTTTGAAAATGTTGAAAATCAACAACCGTTTCTCAACCGTGGCTCCGTTTCCCTGGACTTTATTGTTTTGCCAAAATGCCGTACATGTATACTGCGCAAGAATATACGAACAAGCCTATTATCTACGGTGAATGCCATTGTAACACCTCTGCCACAGCCCGATTGTATCGGGAGAGATACCTAAATGCGGCTCGTCACTCAGATCACCGCGTGTTTCATCACTGTGCACCAGTCGTATTCGCAACGAGGAATGCTAAGTGTTCGTACTTGTACGTACTAGGTGGAAGACCACGACGAAACGAAGACGACGTAGTTTAAAATGAAATTGAAAATGATCCCAACACTTAGTACATGCAATTGAAAGAGACACTGGAATACCGAAAAGTATTGTTCATCGAATTTTAAAGCGATACAAATATCATCCGTACCATGTGCAACGAGTACAAAGTTTGCTACCTCGTGACTACGCACCCAGGCTCGATTTTTGCAGAACAATGTTGGCGGGAAATTCTGAAGATTCGCAGTTTCTTAACAAACTTATATGGACAAATGAAATGACGTTTCAAAAAGACGGTTATTTAAAGTTACACAACATACACGGTTGGCACATAGAAAATCCACATTTAATGCGTGAAGATCTCTCCCAATAGCAATTTAAAGTGAATATGTGGACCGGAATTTTAAACGGATAAATAATCGGACCATTTGAGCTGCATGAAACTACTACTGAAACTACTACTAACATTGAGTTATATGTACTACGTACTAGAGAAACCATTCCGAAGGGAAGTGGGAGTTATCTACACGAAGAGATCAAAAAGTGCGCGGAATGAAAGGAAAAGGAAGTGAAATGAAACTTGAAATTATTTTTCCTTTTCGATATATTCTCCATCAACCCTAATACACTTCTCAGTTCGTTCAAATAACTTATTTATACCTTCGAAAAAACTGTTTCATCAAGGCCCTCAAAATAGGCAGAAATTGCCGCCTTCACTTCTTCGTTCTTTCTCCGAAGCTCTTTTTTCATATTTGGAAACAAATAAGAATCCGAAGGGGACAAACTTTGGATTACATAGAGAAGGTGATTTAAAGTTTCGAAGCCGCACTTGTCTAAGGAAGCCATCGCAACATGACTCTTGTGAACAATTACACATACATTATCGTGCAAGGAGCACACATCGAGACCACTTTCTCCTTCTTTTTTTCTTTAATCGCATCTGTAATTTTTAGCGCCATAGCGTAATACTGTCCCGTGATATACTGACCTATACCTTTATAATCGTTCAATAAAATTCCCTCAGAATCCCAAGAAACTGAAGCCATAGTCTATCCAGCCGATTGTAACGCCTTGAACTTCTTAGGCGGTGCTGCGCCTTTTTATGCCACTGCACGGACTCCTACTTTGCCTCAGGTTCATAGTGATGAACCTAAATTTCATTCCCAGTAACAATTCGGTTCATAATTTCGTCCCCGTTCTCACTACACAAGTCCAAAAACTAGGGCAAACACTCGACTTGCTGCTGTTTTTAAAGCGAAGCATTCTTGGCACCCATCTTGCACTGACCTTAGATATGTCAAGATGGTCATGATGTTTAAAACGGTCATAGATGATACTCCAGTCATTTCTGCGATGATTTTTTCTTCAGTTGAGCATGTTCAAAATCAAGTTTTCAATTATTTCGACAATTTCTGAGGAAGTTTTCCTTAGTGTTCACTTCCTGATTGACTTGTTTATCCTGAAATACCTCAAAGGTCAATGAACCGATCTGGCTGAAACTTGGTATTTATAGTTGTATTGAGTCAACAAGTAATATAATTAATAGAATCAGCAGAATTAATTAATAGAGCGTTACTTTGCGGAAATCCATTATATAAAAGCTTTTAGAAAAATTTACTTCGCAAATATCCGCGTTATAAAATAAAATGATGTGTCTTACGTAGTATGAAGAGCACCTCCCGCCCTCGTGTAGAGGCGAAACACGTGTCGTATTATCGTTAGTGGTGTGTCTTGCCTAGTGTAGTGGTGTTGGGAGTAGCGGTGCTGGGATTAGTGGTGACGGGGATAGTGCACGCAATTGAGGGAGGGCGGGAGGTGCTCTTCATACTAGGTAAGACACATCATTTTATTTTATAACGCGGATATTTGCGAAGTAAATTTTTCTAAAAGCTTCAACAAGTAATGACAGTTAAAAAAAACCCCTGTCCTCTCTAACTTTTCCATTCCATGAACTTTTTGACCTGTCCTCGAATTATGTTAACGCTATAGAAAACAATATAAATGGATGAGAATTACATATCTGAACATTACATCACGTGACTTAGCGTTGGTTTCATTCATTTTTATAGTTTTCCATAGCGTTGTAAAATGTCATCTTGGCTAATTCCACTGATTTCAGTATTCACTGCCAAAAGTATCGATCATTGTTATTTCTTATTCATAGAGCTTTTGAAGCAAATTTTCGATCATAAGCCTGAATAAAAATTGTTATAATATAGGTTATAGAGTTTAAATTTTGTATATTTTTTCATTTTGTCACAGAAGGAGGGTTGGACCCCGACGGGCGAGTGGGTGGCGAGTTGGCGCGGGCGGCTCCCGCTGCAGACCATCATGCGGCTGCTGCAGGTGCTCGTGCCGCAGGTGGAGAAGATCTGCATCGACAAGTGTGTACAAACCTACATGTCTAAGGAATAAAATATTTCGAGAACATATGAAGTCCGCAAACACATACTTTATTTATTTTAATTTTATTTATTTATATTTAGCAGTACGACAGGTTTATTACTCTATAACTCTTTTAGAAATGAGAGCAGGCAGTGTCCAGCTTGTACAGGCTTTAACTCTATTTTTTTAATTTGTGTAAGATGGTAACATTTTATACGCGAAGTTACGGGCGTTGTTTCACTTGAGCACGCGTTGTGGGCAGGGGCCTGACGGACGAGTCGGAGATCCTGCGGTTCCTGCAGCACGGCACGCTGGTGGGGCTGCTGCCCGTGCCGCACCCCATCCTCATCCGCAAGTACCAGGCCAACGCGGGCACCGCCGCCTGGTTCCGCACCTACATGTGGGGCGTCATCTACATACGGTACGCACACGTTCGCCCATATACACACACATATCTACCTACGGTACGTCTGTAGTACAGTATACATACATATGTATGCATTTACAAATGTACATTTGCATACGGTGTATGTACACATATTACTGCTGTATATACAACGTGTCCCAAAATTCAACGATAAGCCAACACCGGAGGATAGACCTGCCCCGGACTAATCGGGTAAAAAAAGAAAAAAAATATATCCCAATTATATTTTAAGTTATATAAAAAAAATGAAATTCTTCAGAAATTGAGACCGTTTATGATATTTTTCACTACCATGACCACAATTTTTTAAATATTTTTTTCTTTTTTTTTATAGGCAACCTGAATAGTACTGCTATCTACCACAATTCTTAAAAACTCCAGAATAACTCTTGTTTTATCACGAAAATTAATGAAACTTATTTTATTCCCTAAATTTTTTGAAGACTTTTACTTTTAACCAAATTTAACTTATCGTGGTGTAAAAAAAAAAGTATGAACACTAGTATGGCAAGTTTTTTTAAAAATTGACGCAACTAACCAATATTCCAAAATGGTATAATACTCTAGGAAAACAAGTTATAAAAAAATATGGGCCTATTATTTCTTAACAGGGGCCAAATGACGGTCGGGTGTAATAAAAGTATTATTTCTTGAAAAATGTTTAATATTTCAAAACAAATGGTACAAACAGTTTCACGTGTAATTTATTAAGTTATTAACATTATAGCAAATGTTCGAACTGTTTGCCACCAGCATTAATACATGCACGACATCGCCTTAAAAATGATCGTTTTATTTGTCTTGCATATCTTCTGCTATTAATGTAATCAGCAGCCTGAGTGATATTTCGACGAAACTCGTCCAATGTCACAATGGGTTTTGAGTAGACCCTGTTTTTAAGACAACCCCAATAGAAGAAGTCCAGGGGGTTCAAATCGGGTGAACGGGGTGGCCATAAGATAGGACCAAGTCGCCCGATCCAACGCCCTGGATACTCTTGATTTAAATATTCTCGCACAGGACGGTCATAATGTGCTGGGCAACCATCATTTTGGAACCACATGTTTTGAAGATCACTTAAGGGCACGTCGTTTAACAATTCTTGCAAGTCATTTTGTAAAAAGTTTAAATAACTATTGCCATCTAAGTTTCCTTGTAACTCAAAGGGCCCAATTACTTTTCCATTTAATATGCCGGTCCATAGGTTAACCTTGAATTGATATTGGGATTTGTCTTGTCTCATCAAGTGTGGATTTTCATTACTCCAACTATGTAGATTGTGAAGATTTAAATACCCATCTTTCTTGCACGTTGTTTCATCCGACCATAGAATTTTGTCTAGGAAGTGGGGATCTTCACTGTGCCTTTGCAGCATTACACGGCAAAATGTGACCCGTAGCGGATAGTCCCGCGGTAATAACGTCTGCACACGCCTGTAGTGATATGGGTGAAGCTTGTGACGTTTTAATATTCGATGTGCAGAACTTTTCGGGATTCCTGTAGCTTCTTCTATGGCACGTACCGAAGTAGTCGAGTCATTTTCTATCTCCTTGAGAACTTCTTCATCACGATCCAATCTAGGTCTTCCAGCGCTGCTCCTATTGGATGGCATACGACCCTCCGAAAACGCTTGATGCACATTAATAAACACTCGATAATCAGGATATCTTTGAGCATTTGGGTATCTTTCTGGATACAGTCTGCTAGCAGCGTTAGCATTACATCGGCATTCTCCATAGATTAAATGCATATTAGCGTATTCCTGTGGTGTGTACGGTTGCGGCATGTTAAACGCCAAACAGTCCAAAATGCGCCAGAACTCTAAATCACAAAACACACAATCGTAGTCCAAGATAATGCCTGGTCAGTTCAGTTTGCAGATCACTTCCAGTCCAAATAATGCCAGGTCAGTTAAGTTTGCAGGTCGATTCCAGTCCAAAAAGCCAAGCCAAAAGTCGATAGTATGTACGAGGGCCACGTAAGTTGAATTGGGTACGGTGCGCAGTAAACAAAGGAGCAGAGCGTACTGAACCGACTTGCTGAGAATAATAACACCTTCTCTACCTGCCCTGTTGTTGTCTCTTTTTAACGTAAATATCTCTATCTATCTATCTCTCTCTAACATCTAAGGTATTAATGCCCCATTCGAATTCCTAGAAATTGTAACAGGAACCCATTTTGGGCATGTAGTAAAAGTGATTACTGACAATTACAATTTAAGGAATTTGGCCCCTGTTAAGAAATAATAGGCCCATATTTGTTTATAACTTGTTTTCCTAGAGTATTATACCATTTTGGAATATTGGTTAGTTGCGTCAATTTTTAAAAAAACTTGCCATACTAGTGTTCATACTTTTTTTTTACACCACGATAAGTTAAATTTGGTTAAAAGTAAAAGTCTTCAAAAAATTTAGGGAATAAAATAAGTTTCATTAATTTTCGTGATAAAACAAGAGTTATTTTGGAGTTTTTAAGAATTGTGGTAGATAGCAGTACTATTCAGGTTGCCTATAAAAAAAAAAGAAAAAAATATTTAAAAAATTGTGGTCATGGTAGTGAAAAATATCATAAACGGTCTCAATTTCTGAAGAATTTCATTTTTTTTATATAACTTAAAATATAATTGGGATATATTTTTTTTTCTTTTTTTACCCGATTAGTCCGGGGCAGGTCTATCCTCCGGTGTTGGCTTATCGTTGAATTTTGGGACACGTTGTATATATATATAGAATAGTTTCTAACTACCATACGCTCCCCGAACTGAAAAACGTACCCGGCATGAGATCTCTCCTTTCTCTTCAACGGTCAAATACCCAACAATTACACCAAGAGTCCTGAGTTGAAATTGAAACTGAAACTATAGCCAACATTTATTCAAAACACACCGCAAATATCATAATCACAAATCAACCAGCCACAAAACACTAATAATTGGTTATCTGATGTTGTCTCTTTGGTATTGTTATGAGCTTGGGGTGCGAGACAATTAAAAACTGCCTATTGAATTACCAAACTTGACACTTTAATATCTATTTAACACTAATTACAACTTAAACCGCACTAATAATAAAGCGCAATTGTACTACTGATCACTTTAATTCGCAGTTATTTCGCTTCAAAGTATTCGCTTCTATCGCAAATTCAATACTCTCTCGGTCGCGGTCTATACCGGCCTTATATAGGGCCTCAGGTAGTTTTCAGAACCTTTTACTATAGAAACATCTAGAATGTTCGAGTACATATCGATCCCGATATTTCTAGAAGAATCTTGACTCTCCTAGTTCTGCTACTCAATACTAGAGGGCGCTAGTGGTAACTAGTGTTGCCATGCACAAGATATTAATAGTGGCGCGCAACAGTATTTTAAATAACACTTGAAGTCAACCTTTTATACCTGGTTTGGAAAAGGACGTCTGTCCTGAGAAAAAACCAGTTAGAAACCCACGTAATTTGTACACGGTAGCAAGTCATCAGTTACAAGGTGTACTGGGATAATGCTGAAAATGTGTCGCACTACAATGAGGGCTAATAATCTTATCGTCACCAGATGTCGCTAGTTGTACATACACTGTGTCATAAAAGTTTTTCGGTTTTCAATGTATGTAAAAATACAAAACAATGCCTCAGTGTGCTGTGTTCTTTAATTTTTACACTCCTCTTTAATTCTTCAACTTTTAAGAATGTCCGTAGTTTTTTAAGAGTATCCGTAGTTTATTTTATCAATTTCTAATGTAATTAAGATTAAATGTAACTAATATTTCAGAAAGAAACATTAATCTCCTCGCTTTTCTAACAAATTAACTTCCTTCCCTATGAAATCTGTCAAATATTTCACCTCATTTCAAAGTGGCAGAAAAAGTTGTGGATGGAATTGGAATGAACTAAATTTATATGTTGGTACTATATTAACATGACAAACGTTACAAGAATCATTTGTATTTTTTATTTCACAGGAACGTAGACCCTCCGATATGGTACGACACGGATGTGAAACTCTTCGAGATACAACGAGTTTGATTCTCTGGCGCCACGCCGGACGTTTAGCCAATACCTTAGTAAATAACACGCATTTCATTGTTATTTTTTTCATAACATGTTAATTTTACCGAGTTTATTTGCAGTCAAATTTTAGAAGTAATTAAGTGTCAAAATGGATTTAGAGTTTAAATATCTATATTTTTTTTATTAAAAAAGTTATATGTGTGTTTAAGCCGTAAAAATTTAAGCTAATATATTATATTCTCATTTTTAATCATATTAAGACATTTTACAAGTATGCAATTGCACATTTTAAAAATAGAAGTTCTTTTGTTTTGTCATAACTCACATAATTATGAATTCTGAGTGACTAAACTAAATATATATATAAACCTCTTTTTCTTTTAGTCAGATATTGAAAAGGTTCCAAAATATCGGTAAGGTACCGGTTTTGGTACTGAAATCAGAAAGAAACCGAAATCTTAATGGAAATTGTTAAACACCTTTGTGCACTAACAAAAAAAATCTATTCATTAATCTATTCATGAAACAATAGATTTTTTTGTTAGTGAAAAAAGTTTCAAAGTCGTAAGGACCGCCACATACATACCGAATTCCGTTTCGGGATTTCGTTTCGATATTCCGATTCGGAATTCAGCAAGTCCATATAAAGTCTATGACGCGTCACATACGTACGGTAGTTTTCCGGTCGAAATTTTGTGGGCAAAACGGTATTCCGTATGTGTGTGGCCGACCCGTTCGAAATTCCGTATGTATGAGGCGGGCCTAATTGGTATCCTAAAACTGGAATCATATCGAAATTATGAAAACTGTAATAGAATTTGTAACCGATTCAACTCCTGTTATTAAACAGGGCAGAACTGTGACATACGTTATTTCTCAAAACAAAATGAAATTGTTAAACTATAAACTATTTAAACATAATATTTAATTACTTTCTTACATAGTTTATCCGTCTTATTACAAAAAGTAGTTCAATCAGTCTCGGATTTAAACGAGTCGAAGATTTATCGACCAAATCGGCGATACATTAAAAATGGGACAGATTAGGAGTACCCTTAACCGACGAGCGTGTATGCGTAGATATATGGATGTAAAAGAGGCGAGAGAGGTCTGTCAGGATCGCGCCAAATGGAAGTCCGTAGTCTCTGCCTACCCCTCTGGGTGACAGGCGTGAGTGTTTATGTATATATGTATGTATGTCGTTCTTTAAATCAATATTGCTAACTCAACAGTGAGATTTGTTTTTCGTATTTCGTAAATAAACTAGTATTCGTTATAAAATACGTCAAATGTTTACGTTACACCTCGCCAGACAAAAATAGTTTTTTCCTTGTCAGTTACCAAGGTTTTATAGAATTGTTTATATAGTTTGATCAGTTAATTTTTTTTTTATTTTAGCTATTGTAATAGTAGTAGCTTGTTAAGTACCAATTTAAAAGGTCCTGTTTCCGAAAGTCCTAATTTTAACACATCTTCGAAAGAAATTAAGGATAACGTCTCTTTCGCGGCGACTATTGACATATTTCTTGTCTCATAAATTTCACAAATTATTACTGTTATACTCCCTTGATTTGAACTGCACCTACAGTACGAAATGAGTAATGGATTTAGGGTTGCCAGATTTTCCCAAAATATCAGGAATTAAGTCCCTCTGTTAGTAATTTGAATTTGTCAAGAATTGTGTCAGAGTACACTTCTATGTTGTGTGCGCTGCTTGTCGGCAAAAATAGATACAAGAGAGGTATCGCCCCTAAAGGATCTGACAGAAAAGGATTATTATATTGGATACTTGTTTTTTTTTAAATGACCTAATTATATTTTTATGAAATAATATCAAGTTACTAACGAAATATTAATAATTGAAAAATTAACGCGTGTAATTTAATGACCTTGAAGATTTTTTGTGCAAGAGTTTATTTTTGTCAGTCGCAATGCAGGGCCAGACCCACAGCGATTGACTTTGCCTTTCGACCACGATGTACCCTACTTTACATGGTAATACATTAGTTAATTATCAATTTTATTTATAATGGTGGAAATAACATTGTTCGTATCGGATATATTTAATGTTGAATATCTCTCAATGTATTGTAAAATTTTGTATACGTAATAGTAGTAAGATGTCAAAATGTAATCTTATGAAATATTATTGCTTTAATTTCTGCCTTCAACTTATGATTTGGTACACATTCAGAGCTTCGAGTGTCTTTGGATTATTTTTATATATGATCCTTCTGTACAAGTATTTGTAACTGAACTCTTCCTAAACAACTGGACTGATTTTGATTTTTTATTGTGTTAATTTTGAATTGGTACCTGATGATTTAGATTCACAACTGGACCTGGTAGTTGGCGCTGTTATAGAGATCGAGAAATCACCCGTATGAAGCCGGGACGGATTGCTAGTAATAATATAACGTTGTCACTTCATCTAGTGAGGGCTCGCTTTACATTTCGCCTACCGATACGCCACTGCTGCCACTCAAGAATCTTTTCTCCCCATCGGTTGTCGGTTCTTCGAGCTATACGGTCCGTCTATTGCCACTTCAGCTTACTAATCTGTTGGGCTATGTCGGTCACTCTGGTTCTACTACGGATATCCTCATTTGTAAGTTTATCATGCAGAGCAACCCCCAGCATAGTCCTCTCCATAACTCGCCGAGTCTCAGATCCATAAGTCGTCACTGGCAACACGCACTGTTGTACAATCTCGTTTTCAAGTTTTGAGGTATACCTGACGAGAAGATGTCGTAATTTCCCGAACGCTGCCAGTCGAGTTGAATCCTATTGACCTCTCGGTTGAAGTTGGGACTTACCTAGTCGAACTATTTGTCCCAGATAAACATACTCGTCAACAACTTCGAGCTTAGTGCTCCCAACAACTACCGGCATAGGTGTGTCATGGACGCAGAGTATACTCATATACGTATACTCTGGTTCTGTACTCGGATAGCCATCGTAGCCCTACTGTACAAACACTTCAGCACTTCGATATACCGAGGCCGCTGGAGGGACTGCAGCACCGCCCAAATTTCGACGGAATCAAAAGCTTTCTCATAGTCCACATACGCAAGACAAAGTGGCAGATTGTACTCCTCGGTCTTCCGTACAGTTTCTAGTGTACAATAAACATTATACATAACAATGCCACAGTGGTTGGTAATCTAATTAATATAAAATATAATTAATATTTCAGAAACAAACACACTTCTTTTTTCTTCTAACAATATAACTTCCCTTCCGTGAAGTTTGTTAAATATTTCATCTCATTCCAAAGTAGCGCCGCCCTGGTGGCAGGAAAAGTTGTGGATGCCCTCATTTTTCTTGTTCAAACGAAGATATTCGAAGCTTAAAATTAAATTACAGAATTATAGATTATTTATTCAATAAAAATTACCTGTTTATATTGTGATATTGAGTTCGATAATTTTTGAACGGCACACTAGTGAAGTGATCAATTTATCTTATGATGCTTTTAATGTTACTGTGTACGGCTGTTTCATGACTTTACTAGTCATTTACTTTAGCTTGCTCGTGTTCCTGATGGGATTACATTTACCATGATTATGCTGAAGGGTATTTTTTAATATATTATTGTAACATTTAAGTTCTATTTAGATGTAGTCACGCAAAAAGGATCCAACCGTTTGAAATAATGACGTTTGAAATTTAAATGGGTATTTGTAATAATAACTTAATATGATTTCTTTTTTGTTTAAAAAAAAAGGAAAGATTCTCAATTCGACTGTTATTTTTATTTATGGTTGTTACTCCATATCATCGTCAATTGCGAATTGATTTTTTAAATATGTTCTCAGGGGTTGGTCTATATAAATTTAAAGGGAAAAAATAAGTAATGAAGTTTTTATTGTAACCATTTATATTGTAGACGAAGTTTGAGCTTGTCATAATTTTTAGTCTGCTCAAAAGCGTTAAAAATTTAAACTTTTAATACAAAGTAAAAGCTGACTACAAAGAGCGAAAAAGAATAGAAGCATTTCCATTTATTCGCTTCTGAAGTCTGGGATTTAGTACTTCTACATACCATGTCTTAGCACCGACTTCTGAAGTATGGAGTGTAGAGTAGAAGGAGGACCATCTCTGTATATGAAAAGTGTCCCTAAAAACGTGTCCAATAAGGGTGGCGCTGCAGTAGCATAGGATAAATTAAAAAAGAAGCGCCAAAAGTATTTAGAATAAGATGGAGAAATAAATAAGGGCCGATCAATCTGCTTGGTTTTGTACTACGTAAATAGTTGAGATTTTGTATATTGGCGTTTTACTAACTACTCTAGTCATGAAATATTTGAATTCAGCTGACTTCACTCCGTTCACAACAGCTATCTTCATATCGTAGTTTTTCAGACGCCAGCGCTATTGTGGTAGGTTTTGGAACCTCTATTTACAGTAAATAGTAGGACACTTTTTCAACCTTCGCTCCTTATAAGATGGTTCTCCTTCTACTCTACACTCCATATTCTGAAGCTAATATGAGAAAATTATTTAATTTTTTTTACTTCTTTGAAGTTGACTTTAGTTTGTCTTTTTTTGTTTTAGTCAACTATAAATGAGGATTATTTCTGTATGTCGCAGCCAATTAACTTAATTAGCCTTTCAGTTAACAGCCTAGACGTTACATGGCATAGTCACCCTATTTATTTCATTCAACGAGACGACAGTCCCTGGTCTGTACGTAATTAGCGCTATGTGCTATATTATATAAATGCACGCGGCTTTAGGGCATCGGCTGAATATCATTCAGGCCGGTATTCAGCGCCGTTTAGTAAAAAGACTAGACTGTTAATTAAAAGGCTAATTATATAGGTGGCGGTGACATTTATATTAAATAACTCAATTTTAACCGGTGTATGGGTTGGGTTATTTTTGCGTAAGGACGTTCATTTATCTGTGTGAGTGTTATGTTTTGCAAGAAATTCAACCTTTGCTTTTGAAGAGTTGTTCAGTGAATTATTTATGTACTTACATTAATAAATTTATTAGCATTCCAATTTTAT